TTACATTAAATTACATTTACAAATGAATTAAAAACAATAATGATCTATACAGTATAGTCATTCCTTGTGTCTCCACAGAAATCCCCACATACACAGTACAGTTGGCACCAACAAATAAAGCTTGCCATTTTTTTCTCATGTGACATGTGTTGCTGTTGTCTAGATGACACCTGTCATAGGCATATACAGTGAAGGAAATGCGTATTTGCTCCCTTGCTGATATTGAATGTTTGCCCACTCACAAAGAAATGATCGGTCTAAAAATCAGATGGTAGGTGTATTGTAACACTGAGAGACAGAATAGCAACAAACAATTCAGCAGAAATGCATGCCTAACAAATGATGACTGATCTGCATGTTCATGAAGGAAATAAGTATTTGATCCCCTTCACAAAACATGCTTAGTATTTGGTGGCAAATCCCTTGTTGGCAATCACAAAGGTCAGACGTTTCCTGGAGTTGGTCACCAGGTTTGCACACATCTCAGGAGGGATTTTGGCTCACTCCTCTTGGCAGATCCTCTCCAAGTCATTAAGGTTTGGTGGCTGACATTTGGAAACTCGAACTTTCAGCTCCCTCCACAGATTTTCAATCGGATTAAGGTCTGGAGACTGGCAAAGCCACTCCAGGACCTTAATGTGCTTCTTCTTGAGCCACTCCTTTGTTGCCTTGGCCGTGTGTTTTGGGTCATTGTCATGCTGGAACACCCATCCACGACCCATTTTCAATGCCCTGGCTGAGGGAAGAAGGTTCTCATCCAAGATTTGACGGTACATTGCCCCGTCCATCGTCCCTTTGATGCGGTGCAGTTGTCCTGTCCCCTTAGCAGAAAAACACCCCCAAAGCAGAATGTTTCCACCACCATCTTTGACAGTTGGGATGGTGTTCTTGGGGTCATAGGCAGCATTCCTCCTCCTCCAAACACAGCGAGTTGAGTTGATGCCAAAGAGCTCGATTTTGGTCTCATCTGACCACAACACCTTCATCCAGTCCTCCTCTGCGTCATTCAGATGTTCAGTGGCAAACTTCAGACGGGCCTGGACATGTGCTTTCTTGAGCAGAGGGACCTTGCGGGCACTGCAGGATTTCAGTCCTTGTCGGTGTAGTGTGTTAAAAATAGTTTTCTTGGTGACTGTGGTCCCAGCTGCCTGGAGATCATTGACAAGATCCTCGCGTGTAGTTCTGGGATGATTCCTCACTGTTCTCATGATCATTGACACTCCACGAGGCGAGATCTTGCATGGTGCACCAGACCTAGGGAGACTGACAGTTGTTTTGTGTTTCTTCCATTTGCGAATGATTGCACCAACTGTTGTCACCTTCTCACCAAGCTGCTTAACCATAGTTTGGTAGCCCAGTCTAGCCTTGTGTAGGTCTACAATCTTGTCCCTGACATCCTTGGACAGCTCTTTGGTCTTTGCCATGGTGGAGAGTTTGGAATCTGATTGTTTGATTGCTCCTGTGGACAGGTGTCTTTTATACAGGTAACAAAATGAGATTAGCAGCACTCCCTTTAAGAGACTGCTTCTAATCTCAGCTTGTTACCTGTATGAAAGACACCTGGTAGCCAGAAATCCTGCTGAATAATAGGGGATCAAATACTTATTTCCCTCATGAACATGCAAATCAGTGCATCATTTGTTAGACATGCATTTCTGCTGAATTTGTTGTTGCTATTCTGTCTCTCAGTGTTACAATACACCGAACATTTGATTTTTAGACTGATCATTTCTTTGTGAGTGGGCAAACATTCAAAATCAGCAGGGGAGCAAATACGCATTTCCTTCACTGTACTGTATCTTTTCATCAGCGTTCATTGAAAGACACAGATGTTCAAACACTGCTGGGTTATATTGCTGCTTACATGAGGATGTGGACAATGGCAAAAAAAAAAAAAAAAATTGTGACCAGCCCCGTAAAACCCCTCCTATTTCCAGCATATCTTAGTTTTTTTTTCTGGGATCCTAGGAGGATGGACTGATCTGCAGAAAAAAGTCTAACCTTTTTATTGGCCAATTTTTTTTTTTAATCAAGACTACTTTTTTCGCAGACACTTCATCACCCTGACGCACATGACGCAACGCGTCGGTTCGTCATTTCCGGTGACGCACGTCCGGATGCCGAGGTCATATTGGATTCCCCAGTGCATGCAGATTTACCCATAGGTTGTGGTAAAAAAGCCTGTTAACCAAGAGGACAATGTGAGTGCAATATTTTATGGTGTTTACCCTTTCTAAATAAATACACTACACTATGGAAAGTTCTATGTTTTTTTCATGAGTCTGGAGTGGAGAATTAAGAGAGGAAATGGAATAAGGAGTCTGCCAGAGGAGATATACCACTGAGGTGGAAACAGCTTTGGGGCCCTGTGTGGGTCAAGGAGGGGAGGTGAGCAGGCATTGCTGCCATTTGGTGGATTTAATTTGCACCTAGAAGTGGAGAACACGTATGTTTTTTCAAAAAAGCACAGAGTCACATGCATGGACATCTTTCTTTTTTACTTATGATGTATATATAGTGTGTGTAAATAAGGCACCACTTTATGTGGATAATCGATATATTATATGAGCTTTTATTCACTAATTTATTCACTCTTATTTTGTACATTGGAGTTTCTAATTATATGCACTGTATAATAGGTATTTTCACAGTGTGTGTTAATTCACTAAAGTATAAATACATTTGGTTGCACTATTTTTTTCTCCCACTAGAGGGAGACATTAGTGTGTACTACACAGATTTGTCACATGAGAATATGAAATTTATATTATTAATTTTTTTGAATGCACTTTAATTTTATTTTTTATGTGATATAAGCACTTCACTATTTTTTTCTTTTAGTTCTGAATATCTACTGTAATAAAGTTATGGGGACCAGGCCTTGGGAGGTATCTTGTTATTAAGACCTTTGGGAGCCATTGAATCCCAACTTATCACTTTACCATAGAATGGGGACCGGGTTTCTGAATATTTACTGTTATTAAGTCATGGGGACCAGGCTCTGGGAGGTATCTCGTTATTAGGACCTTTGGTTCCATTAAAATTCCAACTTTCCATTGGTTTATCGTAGAAGGGAAGAAAAGTAAAAACAGGGCACACTCTCGTGCATTACCATGATGAAACACGAGTTTAATAAAATGCATAAAAGTGCATACTCACAAACCAAAGGAGATCAAAACAGAGACAGAGTCAGTGGTGACTCCTTCTTCAGGGTTCTGTCACCCTACCTCATCAAGGGTCTCCCGTCATTTGGAACCGTCACCACTGACTCTTTGTCTGTTTTGATCTCCTTTGGTTTGTGCGTATGCACTTTTATGCATTTTAACCACTTCCCGTCCGGCCCATGTATATAAACGGCCGGATGGGTGCAGTGCAGGAGCGGGTTCCCGTTCATAAACGTCGGCTGACATTTTAGCCTGTGTGCACTCCCTGGGAGCACGCGGCACCACGATCCGGTGCCCGCTGTGTTCTCCAGACACAGCGGAACACCGATCGCTGTACGGGACCTCTGTGTGAGGTCCCAATCATGTGATCACTGAATAGCCAATCAGTGATCACATGAATAGTAGTAAGCAATATCACTTCTGACATCATTGCTTACTACTAGTAAAATCTGTGAATGATCAGAGGTCACATGGTACAGGGCTATTTCACAACAGCCTTGTACCATGTGACAAGCTGTGACCAATCACAGCTCGCACAGTATTTCTCAATGGCTGCAAGAATGCAGCCAGAGAGAAAAAGAAATTATTCCTTTTACAGCCTTTATGGGTGTAAAAGCAATCAGTGTCAAAAAAACAAAACTTCATCACCCCCTACAAGTAGTGTCATTATGGTGACACTGTACTGCTAGGGTGACAGTATGCTAAAAAAAAAACAAAAAAACAACATAAATAATAATATAAAACAATAAAATAAAAATGTAAAAAATATTTTTGAAAAATTATCATTTTTGGTTATAAACTAATTTGGGTTATTTTTTTTTTACTAAAAAAATAGTTGAATACATTTTGGCCAAGATTTATGAAGAAAGATGATTAATTTGCAAAATTATAATCAAAATGTGAAATTTGCAAAATTGTATAAGAAAAACACTTTTTTTTTTTAAATGTTTGGACTTTTTCATTTATATAGCAAAAAAATAAAAATCCCAGTGGTGAATAAATACCACCAAAATAAAGTTTTATCTGTCTCAAAAAAATGCTAAAAAACTCCTATGGGTACAGTGTTGCATGACCACCCAATTGTCATTCAAAGTGTGACATTGGCCTGGACAGGAAGGGGGTGAAAGTGTCCGGACTTGAAGTGGTCAATTTTTTCGGGTAAGCAATTCACTTATTGTCTGCACATGGTGAAAGAGCACATTTTTGGATCTACAGGACTACATCTTCATGGGACTGTCACCTTAATGTTCACCATATACTGTCTAGAAACATCATTTGTTAGATGATGTGGAGAGAGCATGCTGTATTATTTATTCAACACTATACAAACCCCTGTATTTATAGAAGGTTACATCTCTTGGCAACTGGTAATGTAATAATATGAGGTAGGAAGCCAAACATGGACTGATGGCACCTGACACAACGACTACCGGAAACATGGTGCTTCATCACTGAGAAGGGGGAAGAAGATGAGATGGTTGCAGATATCAAGTACAGGAGAGTTTGTTGCATACCTACCTATTCCAGTCTCTATAGAATCTTCCTCCTCCTTCACAATGACTGGTATCACCATATCCTCCTCCTTTAATGTCACTGGTAGTATGTCTTCTTCACCTTTAATAATTACTGGTATCACGTCCTCCTCCCCTTTCACTGACATTGGTAACACAATCCCCTCCCTTGCCTCTTCTTTGAGAATTTGATCTTAAAGTCTCCCGGATTCTTATTCTGTTTAAAAAAAAAAAAAAGTCATAGGTTGATGTGCAGGCAAGCCAGAAATGGTGAATGTTAAAAAGCTCCATTCCATCAATTCCATCTACCTGATGATGTTGGGAGATGGTGCAATCTTTCTGTGTGGAATCCCGGGAATACAGAGGACAAGGACATCTCTCTGGTGGGTTCCCATTACTGGATCCATCTACCTGATGATGGTGAGAGATGATGTGATCTTCCTGTGTGGAATCCCGGGAATACAGAGGACGGGGACATCTCTCTGGTGGGTTCCCATTACTGGATCCATCTACCTGATGATGGTGGGGGATGGTGTGACCTTCCTGTGTGGAATCCCGGGAATACAGAGGACAGGGACAGCTCTCTGGTGGGTTCCCATTACTGGATCCATCTACCTGATGATGTTGGGAGATGGTGCGATCTTTCTGTGTGGAATCCCGGGAATTCAGAGGACGGGGAGATCTCTCTGGTGGGTTCCGATTACTGCATCCATCTACTTGATGATGTTGGGAGATGCTGCAATCTTTCTGTGTGGAATCCCGGGAATACAGAGGACAGGGACATCTCTCTGGTGGGTTCCCATTACTGGATCCATCTACCTGATGATGGTGAGAGATGATGTGATCTTCCTGTGTGGAATCCCGGGAATACAGAGGACGGGGACATCTCTCTGGTGGGTTCCCATTACTGGATCCATCTACCTGATGATGTTGGGAGATGGTGCGAAATTTCTGTGTGGAATCCCGGGAATACAGAGGACGGGGACATCTCTCTGGTGGGTTCCCAATACTGGATCCATCTGTAGGAATCAAACACACTGACTCTATCCATAGTTTCTATGTGTTTATCAGATAATGGGGGATCTAGGTGGAGCCTCCGTACTGCTCTCTCCTTTACAATAAGGTCTCCACTTACCTGGTGATGTGAGGGGCGGCCGGCTCGCCATATTGCTGGGGACCTTTTTGTTGACGTTCGTCTCTGTGTAGGAAACACACACACTGACTGAATCCATTGTTTCTATGTGTTTATCAGATGATGGGGGATCTAGGTGGACCCTCCGTACTGCTCTCTCCTTTACAATAAAGTGTCCTCTTACCTGGTGATGTGAGGGGCGGCTGGCTCGCCACATTGCTGAGGACCTTTTTGTTGATGTTCATCTCTGTGTAGGAAACACACACACTGACTGAATCCATTGTTTCTGTGTTTATCAGATGATGGGGGATCTAGGTGGACCCTCTGTACTGCTCTCTCCTTTACAATAAAGTCTCCTCTTACCTGGTGATGTGAGGGGCGGCTGGCTCGCCATATTGCTGGGGACCTTTTTGTTGACGTTCATCTCTGTGTAGGAAACACACACACTGACTGAATCCATTGTTTCTATGTGTTTATCAGATGACGGGGGATCTAAGTGGAGCCTCCATATTGCTCTTTTCAACTAGATCTCCTCTTACCTGGTGATGCAAGAGCTGGCTGGCTCGCCATAATACTGGAGTCTCGCGGAACCTTTTCCCGGGTGTTCATCTCTGTTCTCGGAATGTGAGGTGAAGGAGCCGTGTTGGGTCTCTGCTCTCGATCGTTGGATGTGACAAACAAGGACGGCCGTTGGGCCTCGCTCGCCTCCCAGCTACGGTTTAGTCCTGCTCGTTAAGAATAAAAAAGGAGCCCTGTTCAGATACACTCCCAGAATCCCTCACACCCTCCTATCAACACAAGAATGGCTCCATGGAGCATAAGTAGGCCGTTTTAAACCCATACTTCTTAACAAACATCCAAAGACTAAACAATCCCCGCTGACTCGTCTAGTTATCGGTTACCTGATCGCCAATGCCCGTCCTGGTAGAATCATACTCAAGTATTGGGTGAGGAACAGGGTTCAACATCAACATCTGGGTGATATATGTTTATTATTATGTTGTGTATATAGTAGAAATAATAACCCCCGACGCACGACGTCACGTATCTTATGCTGCACATGGCAGCCATACAAATGTGGAAACTGAGGGGGCCGAAAATGGCGCCATGACCCCGACTTTGTGACACCGTATCCTTCACCGCAGGTCAGAGGCTGCATTACATCCATCTGTATATTCCCCTATGCCACCCATTTCATCGCCTACTTCTCTTTCCTCACCCCACTCACCAAGAACTCCCCTCCTCCTCAACACCACAACCGGAAACCACTACCTCAGCCCCCCTCCCCACCTTCTACAGACCACTTCTTATTGCCCTAATCCAACATGGCCGCTCCCACACCGGAAGTCTCCCTGTAAGCAGCGCGTGGAGTGCGTTACGCTTTCACTCATTTCAGCTGAATGACTGCCGGGGGGGGGGGGTGAAGGAAAATATCTCTCTGAAACGCCCGGCGGGTACCCCCTAAGAAGTCTCGGAGCGGCCGATTCCGCCGCTGTCCGCATCCAACATGGTGGCCGCGTCAACCGTTCCCATGGAAACGGAGCCTTTCAAGGCTGTCAAAGATGCCACAAACGACCTCCTGAGAAGCGGCTGTCGTCTGAGTTTCAACGAATTCTGGGTGCTGTTCTGCGCGTGTAATTGTGGACTACAACAAAATGGCCGACACTGATTTATCTCAGGGTCGGAGGATGAACAGGCGTTAAGGGGACGTGACATATTGGGTGAGGGCATGGTGGATAAAGCCACTATTATGGATAAGGGCAATGGACACAGGTGAAAGACAAAACTGAGTTTCCTGTCAGGGTGTGTAAGCATATGGTCATGTGATCAGCCAGTTCACTGCCAGAAAAAAGTACATATAAATGGATGGTGTCCAACCCAAAAAATAGAATCGCATTACACAAAAAAGTACCGCTCTGCAACCAGAAATGTAGTATTGGGTACTGTTATCCTTAGCTGAAAACCTCAATAAGATAACCCTTGACATCATCAAAAATGATCCCAAAAACGTAACCCTTGACCTCACCCTTAAAATAAGCCCAAAAATGTAGCCCTTGAACCTCAAACTAGCCCAAAAACATAACCCTTGACCTCCCTCTCAAATCAACGCCTAAAATGTAACCCTTGACCTCGTCCTCAAACCAACGCAAAATAATTTAACCCTTGACTTCACCCTCAAACCAAACCAAAAAAATGTAACCCTTGACCTCACCCTCAAACCATTCCCAAAAAACATAACCCAACTAGACCTCCCTCTCAAATCAACGCCTAAAATGTAACCCTTGACCTCAGCCTCAAACTATTCCCAAAAAACAACCCTTGACCTCCATCTCAAATAAACCCCTAAAATGTAACCCTTGATCTCCCCCTCAAACTAACTCCAAAAACAGATCTCTTGACCTCACCCTCAAACTGGCCCCAAAACGTAACCTTTGACCTCCATCTCAAATCAAGCTTAAAAACCTAACCCTTGACCTCTGTCTCAAACTGACTGCAAAAACTTAACCCTTAATCTCACCCTCAAACTAACCCCAAAAATGTAACACTTGACCTAAACCTCAAACTACCCCCAAAAATGTAACACTTGACCTCAACCTCAAACATGTTACACTTGACCTCAAACTAATCCCAAAAATTTAACACTTGACCTCAACTTCAAACTATCCCCATAATTGTAACTCTTGATCTCCATCTCACATCAACCTTAAAAACCAAACCCTTGACCTTACCCTCAAACTAACTCCAAAAACATAACCCTTGACCTCACACTCAAACTAACCCCAAAAATGTAACCCTTGACCTCACCCTTAAACTAACCCTAAAAATGTAGCCCTTAAACCTCACCTTCCAACTAGCCCCAAAAATGTAACCCTTGACCTCTCTCTCAAATCAACCCCCAAATAGATAACCCTTGACCTCACCCTCAAAGTAACCCAAAAAAATATAACCCTTGAACTCCTCCTCAAACTAACCTCAAAAACATCATCCTTGACCTCACCATCAAACTAACCTCAAAAACATAGCCCTTAACCTCACTTAAAATAACCCTTGAACCTCAACCTCGCCCCAAAAACGTAACCCTTTACCTCCATCTTGAATCAACCCCCAAAAACATGATCCTTGACCTCACCCTCAAACTAACCCAAAAAACTTAACCCTTGACCTCACCCTCAAACCCAAAAACATAACTCTTGACCTCACCCTCAAACTAATCCCAAAAACATAACCCTTGACCTCACCATCACACTAACCCTAAAAACGTAACCCTTGACCTCACCCTCAAACCCAAAAACATAACTCTTGACCTCACCCTCAAACTAGTCCCAAAAACATAACCCTTGACCTCACCATCAAACTAACCCTAAAAACTTAACCCTTGAACTCACCCTCAAACCAAAAAAAAAACATAACTCTTGACCTCACCCTCAAACTAGTCCCTAGAAATTAACGCCAAGATGTAACCTTTGACCTCCTTCTCAAATCAACCCCCAAAAACATAAGCTTTGACCTCCCTCTAACATCAACCCCTAAAATGTTACCCTTGACCTCACCTTCAAACTAACCCTAAAAACGTAACTCTTGACCTCACCCTCAACCCAAAAATATAACCATCAACCTCACTCTCAAACCAATCCCAAAAATGTAACCCTTGACCTCACCATCAGTCTACCCCCAAAAAACATAACCCTTGACCTCACCTTAATGCTTAACACAGCCCCAACAGCTTAACTTTAACCCAACTCATAATACAAATCCAACAGCCAACCTACACCAAAACCTCACCGTCCACACAAGGCCAGCTCTAACATGATCCCAAACATGGCCATTCACCTTCTCCTACCCCCACACCTAACTGCCACTCAAAGATGAACTAATGAGCTGGAAACACAGATGAGGAGACATCTTATAACTTTAAAAGCAGTTTATTGTGTGTTCCAGGAACCTTGTGAGGGACTCAGAGAAAAACCTTATCATATGACGGATAATATTATTATAATAAAACACTCAGGTTACTACCTGAGGATTTACCAGAGCAGTTCCAACATGGTGTCTCATTATTAATTGGCAGCTGACCATCCCGGGACCCAGTGTAACAGAATGCCAAGCCTGCTGTTTTCATGGCTGCATGGTGAACTTTATGACCATTTACAAAGCTGGTGCAGGTGGTATCACTCAGCGTAAAGAAAATTTGTGGGCTTGAGTCCTTCTCTGATCAGAAAGGGGGGTGGGGATGGAAGCAACACAGTAATTCACGTGGATGTAATGGATGAGTTCAGGAAAGGGCCAATGCCTCTCCACTCATTGTCTTTGCGATGATGTCTTTCTGGCTCCACTTCCCATAGACAAGCAGGGATGACCCAGGGTTCCTGGTTTTATGGAGACCTGTTCTATACTAACTTGTGAGGGATAACTCCACCAATACTAAAAACCACACTCCAATCAAAACTTGGGGAAGGAGAAGTAAGGCTTACACCTTCCGGAGATGGAGAAGTAAGGCTTAGACCTTCTGGGGAATGAGAAGTAAGGCTTAGACCTTCTGGCAACGTCTTATTGCCTGTGACTCAAACTCCGTTTCCTGTCTATTTGACAGGAAGTGTAAGTGAAGGTAAAATCTTGCCAATGGTGATACAGGAAGCGATTGCAAAAAAAAAAAAAGTTTCTAGTATAGGGAGGGTTACCTTTATTGGGATTTTTTGCTGTCCATATCCCATTGGGTAAATTTACCTCTCTTCCTGTGTAGGGGTGATGGACGGGACAAGACATAACAAAGAGCTCAGTCTATCCTAAGACTATCCTTAAACTAAAAAAGCTTTGTCTGGGGAAGTGATACCAAACATCCAGTAATCCTATCTTCTGGAGGCTCTGGCCAACTAGTTGTTTAGACCTT